ATCACCAACGTACTCTTAATTGTTCAGACAACACCTGACCTACAACTCTAGATTCTTTATACCAGTTCACTTTTTTTTAATAATCATTAAAATTTTTGTAATTCATGGACTTCGACTGTACCCCCTTAGTACATCATTTTAATTATCTTTATTCTTATCATCATATGTGTAATATCGATTGAGCGATTTCTAGTGCGACTTGGTGCCTTCTTTTTCCGTAAGATAAATACAACTGTACACTTTGAAAATGAAGTCGTTGATAGGAGATATTTCTTCGCTGAACAAAAGAAGAACTGTGTCTTTCTTTCCATATAAATGGGTAAAAGCTTGAGAGTTCGAAATTAGAAAATGAAACAGAAAACATGAAGAGCAATAAGAATGGGATGTTTATATTTCCAGGTGTGTTTTTCTTTTTAAACATTTTTATCAGATATTAATCATGAATCTAAGTACAGTAGGCAAAATAGACAAAGACTTAGTTGAATTCATCGATGGAAAAACGTATGATGTAAAGTTAAACGACATAATTCGAGTCTAGCATTTGTTTACAACAGCAGCTGACTATGGCCTCCAAGACGGTTAACTCTCCTCATTACAAACTGGTTAAAACAAACTGAAAACGGCTTAGTAATCGTAATAAAAATAATAAAGGATACATTCAAGTTCTCGGTAACAGTACATTAACTAGAAATACCTAGTAAACTGATTATTGATTCCCTTCAACACACCTTTTTTTTCACTTACTGAAATTACATTGCTAGTCAGCATGCAGAACACATTTCTACTCTGAAAACACAACTCAACTAGTTATTGGTGTTACCTGCTAGAAAGTCGATTGAAATGAGTCATCGTCAACAGATTTCCTGTAAATTTATGAAGTTGTCACCTGTAATCTCTGAGAGTTTATTCATTTTATCGAATTCGCGTGTACTTCCCACCGTTGACTTGACAATATATATAACTAAACAAAATGATGGAATTCGTCAAAAAAAACAAAAACAACAACAACATTCACCTGAATTAACTTTGAACTGGGATGAGGATGTTTCACATTTCTAGATTATTTTTTGAAATAAACTGTACACTACAGGGCTAGTGAAATCATTATACCAAAAGAAACACACAACTATGATTGTTAAGGTAGATTGATTTCAAGTAAAGAATACAAACGATGAGCGGTCGGTCGGTTTTCGACATAGAACTTTGCACATATGTGCTGCAGTTCAAGTCGCCACACTACCTCCTTGTAGCACACAAAGCAAGAGAAGAAAGTAGAAGAAATGCATAATATAGACAGTAAACAGAGGTGTGAGACAAAGGAATAGTAATAACGGAGAACAAAACAGTTTCATTGGAAATCATAAGTCGCAAGGAGTGGATGCATCTGCGCCACTGAGAACGATTTTGAGCCATGTCACCAATTGTTTCCAACCATTGGTGCTTACTGTCCCGAAGACCCCAACCAGGAAGTCTACACCTTCCTACGTGGCTTAAACTAACTGTTATGGATTTCATTGACTGGTGCCATGTTTTCGTTTGACCGCCGCTAGCTCTTTTCCAGCCTGGCCCTATATCAGCTAACATTGCCCGTCGAGGAAGGCGATGACTAGGCATACGTAGCGCATGTCCTAACCATCTCAGTCAAACGATGAGCGGGATGGTGGAGCAAATGACTCGTCAACAAATATGTCAAGATGTTCCATCCGTGAGGCGAGGAAAACGAACAGAATTACAGCTATATATATATATATATATATTCGACTAATGTTAAAGGGTGATTAGGTCGGTAATCGACTCAACAAAAATTCAGAGGCTGTATTCGATAATATATTACTTGTAACATTTTCAAGCATTCAAATGAACTGTCGTCAAGATTTGACACAATAGTTCTAAAATATTCGGGCGCCAAGTGAGAAGTAGACATTTGTAAAAGATTATATTTGCGAAATCTCAGTGAGATTGAAATGAGTAATTCTAACGTTTCGTTCGGCAATCTGGTCCGAACTTCTTCAGGGAAATTAATCGAAATTAACATAACGGAGGTTTATATGCAAAAGGAACATCACTTGTTTTTAAAAACTTTGTCCAGTCATGAGTCATTCAACAAGTATAATAAACGAAATTTTATGAGCTGTGATCAAAATTTGACCCCGGACTTACAAATATTGGTCTACCTTGGTTAAACACTTTAAACAGAGTGTGTATGTGTGTGTGGGTAAACAGTTGTAAAACATTTCTTAACGTCTCCATAAGAAGATATGGACAGTCGAAAATTTTGACCAAGTATTAATAATCAGTGATACATATCCTTTTTGCATTTATTAATAAGGATTTCCTATGCATCAGCTAACATCACGCCTTCATGTCTGTTCACACTGTGAGTATCTAGAATTTTATGATTAGACGTATTTTCAAAATTATGGTGTTTAGGATTGCCGAACGAAACGTTGGAATTACTCATTTCAATCTCGCCGAGATTTTACAAATATAATCTTTTACAAATTTTCAAGCATGCTTAGTTATCGAAAAATACTAGTTAGTGAATATCAGTCCATTGGTTTTCAGAGAACAATAAATTTCTAATAAGAAGTCAAAACAGATTAGTGTCGTCTACGAATAACAGTCTTCTTCAGTCTACAATGAAGTTGACTGCACTTTGTATATCTACTATCAAGTGAGATGCTTTTACGAACTAATAAGCCCAAATAATTCTAAAAGTATTCGATGGCCCTTGATTAATACTGCCTGTAGTCTAGCTAATTCTTTATACATCAGATGTCAGGTTAGACTTTCTGTTCACACATACGGTTACTTTCAACTCGTTATCCTTTCAAGACACTGAATTGCCTAGTGTGCAGCACCATTATTATTATTATTGTTTCCTTTAATTCCTAGAGGAACATAGGGCTTCAGCCCTGCGTCTCCATTGCGTTCGGTTCTCTGCTAGAGTCTTCACCTGGCTCCAAGTCTGCCCACACGTTTTCATCTCCTCGTCACATGACCTCCTCCAAGTCACCATCACCCTGACGACCGACTCACCGCTTCCCTTTCGGGTTCCACTCGAGCAATGGCTTGTCTAGTGATGTCACTTGATGCTTTCCTCAGAGTATGGCCAATCCATCTCCATTTCTTTTTGCCTATTTGTTTCACAATCGGTTCCTGCTGGGTTGGTTTGCTCCCAGAGATCCCTGTTGCTGATCTCTTCTGGCCATCTGATCTTGAGTATTTAGCGAAGACAACTGTTAGTGAAGGTCTGTAGTTTGTTTGAGATGCTCTTTATGACGCACTGGCCAAGTCTCTGATCCATCCGTATAGTAGCACTGACTGACTTCACATTGGAGTTGAAAATCCGGATCTTATTTTTGATGCTGAGTGCTGTTGACCTTCACACAGACTTGAGAGTTGTGAAAGCTTGTCTTGCTTTTCCGATTCTCGCTTTGATATCCTCGTCAGTTCCGTCTGCCTGTAGTTGAAACGATGCTTCCCAGGTCGGTAGGTAAAAGAGGTTGTTTCTTTCAGGTTTCTCCCATTTATGCTGATCGTTGTCTGTTGTTGGTGTTGGTGGTGTTGCCCAGGAATCTTCATCACCTCTGTTTGCTCTATGTTCACCTGAAGTCCTATCTTCTCTGGGTGCTTATTCTGCCAACTTGTTGCTTTTCGCTTGCATATCTTCCAGTTTGTGGGAAATCAGACATATATCATCTGCGAAGTCCAGATCCTCCAAGTCTTTCGTTAGGGTCCATTTCATGCCTGTTTCCTCATTCCCCGCTGTCTGTCGCATTATCCAATCTACTGCAATCAGGAAAAGCCTTGGCGATAGTAGGCAGCCAGCTTGCCTTACTCCCGTCTTCACTTCGAAGGATTCCGTAAGTTTCCCGTTGTGGATTACTTGGCATGCAGCATTGTCGTACAGCTGTTGGATGAGATGTATAATTGTCGGTGGCACCCCTTGGTAGTAGTGAAGTAGTTTCCAAAGCACCTCTCGATCGACGCTGTCGAATGCCTTTTCAAAGTCGATGAAGTTGAGATAGAGAGGTGACTGCCATAGCAAGCTTTGTTCAATGATGATCCGTAATGTGTGCAGTACCATTAAGCTAAGCTTCCACTATATATAGGTATCAGAATCGCAGACAACCGTGAGGACTTGAAAGAAGCTACTAAAAGTGACAGAGACAGCGAAAGTAAAGTAACAAACACACACACACACGCACACTCCAGTAATTTCATGCGGATTACCACTGAAAGTTTGTCCGCCTCACACACAAAATGATAATACCAAATTTAACTGACCATCTCTCTCTCTTTCTGCACGAGCTACACGCTGCAATTAATACGGGGTTGGGTAAACTGTTCACTAGAGATTAGGAAAAGGAAGAACACAACCTTGATTGATAGAAAATATTACAATTCAAAGAAAAAGAAACAATAATTAACATTTTGTACACGTTGGACAAACAAAAAAAAACACAAAAACAAACAGAATACGAACGAGAGAGGGAGGAGCACTGATACAACAGAAAGAGAATGGTAATCACATCAGCTGAGTAAAAAAGCAACTAATATTATATATATAAATATATACTGCAAAAGATATCTCACTAAAGGGAAAGATAAATTTATTTTATTCGCTTTCTAACCAGTTTCAAATTTGTGCACAATATAATGCAAAAGTGAGAAACTGAAGTCAGAATGGAAATTACATCACAGATTAAGCGAGAGAGAAAAACACACACACACAATTGAACAGACAGAACAGAAATGAGTGAAAGAATGCGATAAAAGGCTCTAGAGATTTTGCCTTATGGCACTAACTTTCACTGAACTATACACAAGTATATATATATATATATATATATATATACATATATATATATATATATATTGAGACATGAACACGGCATGTTATAATCGGCAAGAATTGTGAAGACAGCTCAACCATTTAATTAATATGACATAAAAAATCCTGTTCTTGTTCTAACGTTTTGACAGTTAAATTATATTTATGACGAAGAAGATTGTGGATTTGCAGGTGTGTTCACTGTATCAGTAGTTGATGTGTGCGCTTCTGTTTCATTGGAACTCTCAGCCTGTATAACCTGATGATCGATAGAACGAGATAAAACCACCTCTGAATAAGATGGAGGCGAAGTTGTAATTGTAGTCAAGGTTGTTTGCAATTGCTCTTGTCGCGGAGAGTCGTCTGAGACTTCCGGCGATACAGCAGTGTTATTCGTTGGTGGATTTACACACTGTTTAGATAAATCAATCGACTGAATTTCTGAATACGCAGGAGGAGGTTGAATGATATGCTTTAGGCTAGAGTAGGCAGGCGGTGGAGGTGTACTCCGAAATCCATCTGAGTACAGACCGTTGGATCGACCAAAATCTATTAAGAGAATTTTATTACAGAAAAGCTTTCAATGAAATTTTAAAAAAAATGAAAATATGATACCAATAGGTTAAGACAATACGTATATAAGATTACTATGTCTAGTAAATTTTAAGTGGAGAAAGAAGCATATCCATATCAAAGGTGGATAGAGAGATGCTGTGGTGAACGGTAACTGAGGCAGAATCCGATGTAGTTTACAGCATAACAAACTACCTATGGGGAAACTAATCATTAAGACAAGTAGTAGTAGCAATAATAGCGACTCACTAAAAAAAGGAATTTTTTACACAAAAAATACTGTCGCTTAAACACATAAACCGTACCAAACTGCTTATCGCTGTCAGTGTCACACTTACCTCAACCTAAGCAATTTAGTTGTATGCATTTCAGCTAATACTAGAATCACTTATGACAGACTGTAATTTGCAGAATAATATCTGATAGGATCCAGCATAGAGTAGTATATCATCCTCTCTCACAAATCTTGTGATGGAGTTACTATACTAATTCATCATTTCTCACGCATATTGTGATTTATTGTGCGATCAATTCATCATCTTTTGTCTCACCTTGGTCTTTGTCGGATCGCCAACCATTCAGAATAGCTATTGACAGCCAATAAGAAAAAAACATTCTCACGGCTGTGAGCCGACTTTACTACGGTAAAGAAAACGTATAAATATGTAAACAAAGCAATTAGAAGACGTAATTTCTCTGAATCGTGAAATGTTGTATTTGCGTAACACATTCTGAGCAATCTGATCACACACAGACTTGTCATAGGAATATATATGAAATTAATAGAGTTAGGAGGTGAGAAAATAGACTTAAGTCAAGTTAAAATGACATATTCAAGGTTAAAATAACAATGAAGATCACTAAACTAAATAACAGAGGTAATAGTACATCTACTCTGGCTGGTATTGAAACAAAGTTTACTAAGGAAGGTTTAGTGTGATGACGAATTGTTTTTGAACACATAAAGGTGGTTTAAACTTCCCAATTGCTATGGCTTCCACAAAATTTAGGATACGCCCCAAACATGTTCTATATATAGGTTTAAAAGATGTGTTAACATCAATTTTATGTCCTGTCTCTATTTGCTTCTGCAGCCATTTAGGGATATGCTCTGAAGCCCTTACTTGCAGAGATCGATGAATCCTCCACATGTATGTGTGTATTTTCTCGCCTCTTAACCACTTTATTAATTTCATATATATTCCTATGACAAGTCCGTGTGTGATCAGATTGTTAGAAATGTGTTGCACACAAATACATTACACGATTCAGACAAATTACGTCCTCTTATTGCTTTGTCTAAATTCATAAAGGGAACTAACTGTTTTAAAAAGTATAAGTATGTGTTATTTCGTAATACACATACAGTATCCTACGGTCACAGACCAGCCTTTGTCTTTTGATATTTGCGTGACTCAGTGAATCGGAAGGTACAACGGACAAATAGACGTATTAGCGTCCGAGTCGAGTTCATTACTGTTAGAACAATTACCGGTGCAGATATAACATATCACGTTACCCCTTAAGCCTGGAAAAATACTGAAATAATTATGATAGTTGGATGATTATAAACCCTAAGCATCCTCAAATTTAGACTAGGCGAGTTCGTTATATTCCAGTACTAGCTGCTTAAATCGCTGAGCCACGTAAATGTATCGTGCTTACTCTATTTCATATTGTTTTAGTAATACATTTATGTCCAAGAATCGCAATGTATACTCGGGCAGCTTTTTAAATAGGTTTCCGCCTATTGTTTCGAATTTTCCAACGTATACGGAGGAGACAAATTTTGGATTACCGGAGCCTACCTCCAATGAGACAACACAACTTTAGTTCCGCACTGTGTACAAACGCACTGTACAGAATAAAACAGTGGTTATTGTTTTTAGAAAATTTAACTAATAGTAAGCAGCATTACTAGTTCGAATGCAGAAAGGTGTATGATAAAAATACTTATTATTAGGCAGATTGGAAAGACAAAGGACAGTTCTACGACACACAGGCTGGCAACTGAAACAGAATAGACCGAAGGTAAAACAAACCTCAGAACATTATATCAGATGGCGGGGACTATTAACGGGAATAGATCAACCCACATGATGAAACCAATGAAAGATATTCAAGGGAACCTGATTATCAAGGAGGAAAAAAATTAAACAGTGGGCTGATCACTTCAAATGACACTTCAATTGACAATGACCGGCAACTCGCCCAGAAATACCACCAACAGCACGCACAGAACTGTCAGTGGACACCAATCTTTCAACGAAAGCAGAGATCTTGAGTGTGATCAAGATACTGAAGTCCGGGGAGGAGGAAAGACAAGAAGGAATTCTCCACGAAACGGTCCCAGAGACCGTTTACGCCATTACTGCAAAAGGTTTGGGAAGAAGTAAATATGCCTACCGATCGGAAGAAGGGCTATATTGTCAAGCTACCAGAGAAGGGAGACTTAGGCCTGTGCAAGAACTGGTGTGAAATGATGCTTTTATCCACGACATATGAAATACTAAGCTGCATCATCCTGGAGAGGATAAAAGATGTACTGGATACAGAATCCCGTCAGCGTGGAACAAGCTGGATTTAGGAAAGGCAAATCATGTGCTGATCAAATCGCAACTCCACGCATCGTCATCGTAGAGCAAAGCATAGAGTGACGGGTCAAACCTTGACCTCAACTTCCTTCATTGACTTCGAAGAGGCATTCGATAGTGCAGCGCTGACCAAGAAGTAATTTGGAAACTGCTTCAACACCATAGTGTGTATGACCCAAATCTTTATCAGCCTCATTCAACGGCTGGTTGGCTATATGACAATGCCACGTGTCAGGTGATCCACAACTGGGAAACTTAGTGGGGCGTTCGAAGTAAATACAGGAGTAAGACAAGGCTGCCTGCATATTATAACCGATGATATTCTTAATTGTGGTGGACCGGAGTATGCGTCAGAGTGTGCACAGGGAGTGAGAAGACATGAGAACGTTGACTCGATAAGAAGATCTGGATTTCGCAAATGATATATGTCTAGTGTCACATAAACTCGAAGACTTGTAAGCGAAAATGAAAAAACTGGCTGAAGAAGCTACCAGTGAAGACAGGACTCCAAGTGAACATAGAGAAGACGGAGGTAATGAGGATAACCAACGAACGGCAACAACAACCAGCATCAATCACCATCAATGGTTGAGACTTAAGAGGTTACTTCCTTCACTTATCTGGGCAGCATCGCCTCAACCGCAGGCAGATAGCACGAAGAAGATGTCAAAGCCAGCCAGCCAGACGGAATCGGAAAGGCAAGATACGCCTTCATCAACCTGAAACCAGTTTGGAAATCCTCTGCACTCCGCCTCAGCATAAAGAACAATATTCAGATTTTCAGCACAAATGTGAATTCAGTTATTCTATACGGGTCAAGAACTTGGCCGGCACATCATAAAAAGTATTTCCAAGAAGTTACAGACTGTTATCAACAGCTGCCACCTTAGCTGGCTTCATACTGAAGATCGAACGGCTACCTAGAAAGAATTAGTAACAAGAAACTGGCTGGCTGGGAACAAACCAACCAAGAGCCGATCGCCTAAGAAATATGTAGAGGAAAATGGAGATGAACCGGGCATACGTTGAGGAGGTCGTCGAATGACATCGCATCCAATGCAAATCATTGCTCGAGTGGAATCCCAGTGGGAAGCCGCGTCGTCCTAGGGTGATACGGAGGGGATCGTGCGAAGAGGAGATGAGAGATTATGGTCAATTGTTGACCCAGCTGAAGAGGACGGCAGAAAGTAGAAGGAAGTGGAGATGTGTTGTTGTAGCCCTATGTTGTTCTACTCGGATCTCAAGGGAATAATAATAATAAGGGAGCATTGTGAAGCTGTAATAACAACAACGATCACCAATCACTATCAACGGAAGGAATCTAAAGGAATTCACCTCTACCACTTATCTAGGTAGCACTGTTTTAACTATAAACGGCACAAATCAGGATAGGAAAATCAAAACAGACTTTCATTACTCTGCAACCAGTGAGCATAACGAATAAGATACAGAGTTCCAGCACTAATATCAAGAGGTAGGGCTCCTATGTAGTTCACAGACAGCGTTCGTGTGTGCTTACGACTGAACGGACGTAGGAAACAGCTGGCGGTAAAACCATCACGTCCCCAGCTCGATCAGCAAACTAAGTCCCTATTTGAGGAAGAACTAGCTAAACACATATCTGAGTTTGACAGCTGCGCTCATCCTGAAGAAGCCTGGAAAAATATTCAGTCAGCCATAGATACAGCTGTAAAAGCTGTGAATAAGGTAAATCCAAAGGTGAGTAAAAACCATTGGATTTCGACTGCCTCATCCGAACTGATAGATGCTAGAAGACTTATTCCGGCGAGCTCCGAATTCAATGAGGAGCGAAAGCTGCACAAAAGAAAACTTACGAAAAGTCTCCGCAAGGACCGTGAACAGTGGTGGTTGGCAAAGGCGAAAGAGATGGAAAAAGCATCGGCGATAGGCAACACTAGGCAACTCTTTAGACTCATCAGGGAAACGGGTGGGAGGAGGCAAATCATAAGTGAGACTATTTGTGAGAAAAATGGCTCCTTAATTAGGTCTCAGGATAGACGCCTCGAACGCTGGAAAGAACACTTCGAGGAACAGTTTAACTTGCCTACAGCCACACTGAGCCTCCCCGCCATCCAGCACACACCCGAATGGGACATAGACACTGGCCCGCCGTCTGTAAGTGAGGTCACAAAAGCTATCTGTAATTTGAAACGAGGCAAAGCGGCAGGACCCGACGGAATTATTCCGGAGGTGTTTAAATATGGGGGTGACATACTAGTATATAGTTTAACTAAGGTACTAGGTAACGTCTGGGAATCAGAGACGGTTCCATCAGACTGGGGTAAGTCACTTATTATACCAGTATTCAAGAAGGGAGACAAGTCCTCATGTGATAATCATAGAGGAATCAGCCTAACGAAC